GTATTAGAAACTACAGTGGTCTCACCACTCAGAAAGAAAATGAACAAAAACGAGAAGAAAACAAAAATAAATATTTGCTTGTTTTACATTCTGCTATCAGCCTCTCTCTTCTTACCCGGAGAAAAATATGGAGTGGTCTAAATATAGGCTAAAAGCAATGAAAGCTTAGAAATTTTGATTCCACTTCTCATGTCTCTCTTGCTGTCACACTATGACTCAGCAATTCCACTCCTAGGTAGTTCCCAAGAGAAACAAACACGCGTATCAGTCACCCCTCTCCATCCAAATGTTGGCAGTAACACATCACTGTGGTTATTATCGTTACCCTAAAAAACACACAGACCCTCACGGGCTCTGTCTTATGACTCACTGACAGGAACGGAAGGGCTGAGACCCACCTCTCTCCCAGGTAAGAAAGGAACTGTTAAAAAAGGTAAAGCTTGAAATGTTCAAATTCTCCAGTTTTTAAGGGATCAGAGGCTACTAGTTAAGCTAGATATCCGACCAGAAGAGCCCACAGCATTCTAAGCATTGAGCAACAAAGTTCCCATTGAAATTCCATCCGAAGTGACTGGGAACACGGGCAGAACCAATTCCCTCCCCTCAGTGTATTTTGACAGAAAGAGAAATAAATATTTTCAAGAAGATCCAAGTCATACCTATGAACACATTTGATTCAACGCTCGCTTATTAAAATTTACAAAGCTCGAAATCCACTTGTCAGCAACAAAAACTGACTATAAGGAGAGACACCCAATAAATTGCTCTGACATTGGCTGACACTGTGGTTCCAGAGGAGGATACACCAGCGTGGCATTCTGCACCTGGTTCTGGAAGGTCAGGAGACAACAGGGTGCCCCCCTCTAGTAGTGCCAAAACTTAAAGCTCTCATAGTCCAATAAAACATGAAAACAAACTAGGGGCTGGGAGGGAGGATACTGATACTGAGCTGCCCACTTACAGAAAAGCATCTGCCAAGTAAGAGAAGTTTTTTTTAAAAGAGCATCTATTACTGTCACAATTTTCTAACAGAAAGTATATTTTAACGTCAGAAGGTAAAAAGGACATAACTTTTAAAAACAGATTACGTCTGTTTGCCCAACACCACATCACAAGAAACTGGCTGCACAGACTTTCAGCAAACATGGAATGTAGGTTTGGATTATGGTTTTGATAATGTCCAGTCATGCACCACATACAACAGACCACATACATGACGGTGGTCCCATAAGACCATATAGCCTAGGTGTGTGGTAGGCTATACCATCTAGGTGTGTGTAAGTACTCTATGATGTTTTCACAAGGACAAAATTGCCTAACAATGCATTTCTCAGCACGTACCACTGTCATTAAGTGACATGACTGTAGCAGGGTCAGGACCTGGACACAGACATAGACTATGTTTCCCAGCCTCCCTCACAGGTAGGTGTGGCCATGTGACAGAGTTCTAGCCAATGGAATGTGAGTAGAAGTGACCTACACCACTTCCAGCCTGGCCCCAAACTCCCACATACGCTCCTCCACGCTCTTAACCCTCCGTGGCTGGACAGTGATGCTCAGGGCAACTTTACAAGCCATGCATTGACTAAGGGGAGCCTCCTTCACCCAGCACCCTCAGTAACTATGGGCAGCAGAGTGCTCACTCCCTCTTCCACTTGAAACCACTTTGGCCCATCATGTAAGAGAGAAATAAATTTCTAATATGTTTACACCGTTAAACATTTTGGGGTCTAGTATTACAACACTTAGCCCATACATGATTTAACTTAAAATATGGGCTATGGGCCGGCCCCGTGGCTTAGTGGTTAAGTGAGCGCGCTCCACTGCTGGCGACCCGGGTTCGGATCCCGGGCTCGCACCAACGCGCTGCTTCTCTGGCCATGCTGAGGCCGCGTCCCACATACAGCAACTAGAAGGATGTGCAGCTATGACACACAACTATCTACTGGGGCTTTGGGGGGAAAATAAATAAATAAAATCTTTAAAAAAAAAAAAAATATGGGCTATGAATCACTAATAAAAAGACAATTTTTAAAGGACAACAAATCTGAACAGATACTTCCAAGGAACATATACCAATGGTTGATAAGCATGTGAAAAGATGCTCAGCACCAATGACCATCAGAGCAATGCAAATTAAAACTACAATGAGCTACCACTTCACACCCACCAGAATGGCTAAAATTAAAAGACTGACAACACCAAAAGGCAGCAGGATGTGGAGCAACTGGAACTCTCATACATTGTTGATGGAAGGATAAAATGGCACAACCACTTTGGAAAAACACTTAATAGTTGCTCATAAAACATACGCATACTCTACGACCCAGCAATTCTACTCCTAGTATTTCCTAAGAAAAATGAGAGCATATGTGCACAAAAAGACTTGTATAAACCCTTTCATGGCAGCTTTATTCATAACAGCCAAACAGTGGAAATAGCCCAGGTGTTCAGCAACAGGATAAACAGACGATGGTATATTCATACAATGGAATACTACTGAGCAATAAAAGAAACAAACTACTGATACATGCAACACCACCAATGGATCTCAAAACATTTTTTCTTTTTTTTCAATCTTAAACATTTTTGCTGAATGAAAGAGGCATTACACAAAAAGTACATAAATCAACAGTTAAAAAAGAAAATCAAAGGGCCGGCCCAGTGGTGCAAGTAGTTAAGTGCGCCCACTCTGATGCGGCGGCCCGGGGTTCACCGGTTCGGATCCCAGGCACGCACCGACGCACCGCTTGTCAAGCCATGCTGTGGCGGCGTCCGATATAAAGTGGAGGAAGATGGGCATGGATGTTAGCCCACGCCAGTCTTCCAGTCTTCCTCAGCATAAAGAGGAGGATTGGCAGATGTTAGCTCAGGGCCGATCTTCCTCACAAAAAAAAAAGAAAGAAAATCAACAGTAGCTGCCTAGGGCAAGATTGCAGGGGTTGCCGGAAACGACTGGGAAACAGCATGAGCGAACTTCCCAGGGTGATGATTATCCTCTGTATCTTGATAAGAAAACATGATTCCCAGGGGTCTATATCATGGAATGGTCCACTTAATAATATTTGTGTATTTCACTATATATACCCATTACCTTAAAAACATAAATGAATATTAAACTCTGTGCATTTGCATACTTAGTGTTTGGGGTAAAGTCTACTAATGTCTACAACTTACTCTGAAATGCACTCCCCCAAAAATGCATTAATGGATGTTTGAAGGGATGGAGAGATGAAATAACATGTAATAAAAGATATATAGCAAAATATTAATTGCAGAATCTAGATGGTAGATATACGGGTATACACAGTACAATTCTTTCAACTTTTCTTAATGTCTGAAATTTTTCATAATAAAGCATGGGAAAATTATATAGGCTATGTGACATATGCAAAATTCCTTCTGGAGGGTCCTCAAAGAAATAAGCAGTTTTCACTCAGAGCAGCTCAAAGTGAGGAACGACAAGGTATCAATGTGACTGCCAAAGAGGACAGTGTACAAGTATGCTAGGAGACCATGGGCAGAGGACACAGCAGGATGTCAGCCATGAGTCCTCCAATTACAGATGTGCTCTGAGGGCCAGCCACGCACAGTGCATCACCAGCAGGGTCTCGTGATTTAACCACAGTTAACGACTCCCCCAAACAATGACGAGGCTAGTCTCGGGAGAAAGGGGAGTCCTTTAACAATGAATCAATTTTGTTTTATGAAAAACTCACTACATTGTCCATATTTTTCTCAATTCACTGAGTATTCAACGAAAACTTCAGTATGAACCAGGATTTAGCAACCACTGGGTATGAAAAGAGTCCTGGCCCCAACAAGCTGAGTTCTAAGCTTGACTCTGCCACTAACGAGCTGCATGCCCTTGATGAATCTGACTCTAGGTCTCTCTGGTTCACTTTGATTAAGAACTCATAAAAAACTGAACTACCCGAATGGCATATAATAAAGGACAGGATGAGGAGAGATTTTCCAGGCCCTTGGAGAAGAACAGCTGCCTTCTCACAAGCAGGGAACCATAAAGCAATCCATTGGCATCAATACCCCAGTTCATGAATGCTAACCTGGTTTTGAGGAAAGAGCACTAGGCAAGATGAGGAAAAGCACAACTCGAGTCCTCTCTCTGCCATTAACCAGCCACCATGGGAACTGGGCAAGGCCCTTCGACCCTGGGCCAATTTGATGAAAGACTCAGACCAGCTGTGCTCTCATCTAATCCAACGTCCTCAAAGATGCCCTTTAAGACTCTGCACCCCTCGGTACAGGGCAGGAATGCCTCCCCACCACCACTGGGCTGAAATCCTACTCATCTTTAAATCTCTCATTCAGATGTCACTCCATTCACACTTTACAAATAGACTTCTGAGGGCCCTCGCCACGCTGGAAGGGGAATCATCTGTTTACCTGTCTTTCCCAGCTAGACTTTGAGCTTCTCAGCGGTGTAGCGCTGGCCTCACTGGGATTCGTACACCCCCTCCCGGCACAGTTCCTGGCACACGCGGGCACTCAAATACGTGTAAATAAATGCACTAACTAATCCCTAATGTAGCTTCTAGCTCTAAAATGCTCTGCTTATGTTTTTAAGAGCAAATGAAATAATGAATGTAAAAGTTCTTTTATTTAGTCGTTTAATGCTGTGCGTACAAAGTATCAGTCACAGTGATCGGTGCTGGGGACATCGAGGTGATAGAACAGGGTCCTGACCCCACGGCACCCCGCAAATACGAAAGCCTGCAGTTACTGCTGGCGCAAGGTCAAGCTGGAGCCTGCGCCCACTCGCCGCCCAGCCCCACTTCCCTTCCTGCAGCTGCAGCTCTCTGCCTCTTTCCCCGTGCGCCTTCACTCCCGCGACCTCTGTCCCGCTGGCAGACGCGCAAGATTCGCAGCCAACCGCCCGCGCCCTGCAGCCGCCGACAGACCCTGCCGGCTCCCCCGCGCCCGCGAATGCAGCAGTCCGTCTGCAGCGCCCTGCTCTCCGCGCGGCCCCTCGCGGGTACCTGCGCGGCCCGCTGCTCCTTCCAGCGCTTCATCTGGTCGCTGGCGGGATCCCGGCCGTCCGCCATGCTGCCCCACCAGCGTCCAGAACGCGCAGGCGGCCTCGCTCCCGCGTCTCCGCCCTCTGCAGGGAACGCGCCCACGGCCCCTAAATAGGCCACTTCGGCCGCCCGCGAGCAGCTCCGCCCCGGCCCTGCCCCCTCGGAGGGCGCCTCCTGATTGGCCGTCCGGGGCGGGGGGGGGGCCCCCGGAGAGAGGGGGCCGCGGATTGGGAGAGGCAGGGGTGGGAGGGCGAGAAGGGGGAGCCCGCCCCTGCGGCCCCCGGACCCCGGGAGTGGTGAACCCAGGGCGGGCCCCGCGGACGGGCGTGACTCCCGCAGTTATCAGCGTCCTCAGGCTGCCCCGCGACGCGGAGGTTGGCGTCTGCCAGTTTTGCTGAGGAAACGCTTAGGCCCTGTTGGGTGGGACTTTGAACTCTGTAAATACGCTCTCAGCTCTTAAAAATCAGAAATCTTGGGTTGAATTTCTCTGTGCAAAATGAAGTTTTGACAAAACCTAATGTTAGCGTTGTTTGCAACTGAAGGATTGATGGGAATTTGGAATGAATACAAACACTGATTCTGCAATTGTCTTAACCAGTGATCTTACTCTCAAATGTTGCATTAGTTTTTCGTTATCACAGACTATATATACAGAAAAACGTGCCTTTTTTAATAACACAGAGAAATGAAACATTATCAAGTTCTTAATCGTCTTAGTGGTCTAAAATCCACAGGAAGAAAGTTCAGCCTTTTCGGCTCCCTTTTGGCTTAGCAGCTCCCCTTGTTTGAGTGTCTACCATGTGCCAGAGGCTGCTGGACGTTTGCCAGACTTCATCATTTAATCTTCACAACAATCTGGTGATGAAAGTTCTGTCATCCCCCGTTTTAAATATGAAGAATCTGAAGCTTAGAAAGGTGGAGGAACTTGCTTAAATTTATAAGCTGGCTAAATGTCAGAGCCTAGGTCCCTGGTCTTCTGATTTCAAAGCCTGGGCCCTGAACCACTATACTATCCTGCCTTTCTGTGAGTAAGGATTTTGAAAAGCTCTGTATTATGAAAGAGCCATATTGAAAAGTAAAATATTTAGTAAGTTATTGACTAATTTGTCGTTGTAATCAAATGGATTGAAGGATTTTTTTCCCTCATGTGCTAGGATTATCTTTAAACACCTTGATATATATAAATACACCATCATCTTCAAATTAAAAGTTCTCAATTTTTAAGTTTGATTTTTTCAATAAAACTGCATGTAATGGGGGGGTATATGATAGGGGAAATTTCAGATGCTCTTGATTTTACAAAAGTGCAATATCAAGAATCTAAGTGATAGAAGTTTAACTTTTGCAGTTCATTGAAAAAGTAGCCCCCAGACTCACCTTTAGTGCCCTGTACTTCTCCTTCATTACACTTAGCGCAGGTGTAAAGATGCTAGTAGCCATGTGGTCTGTTTGATGTCTCTCACTGCCCACTCCACCTACACCTTGACCGGAGTGTGAACTCCGTGAGGTAGGGACCATGTTTGACTTGCTCTCTGTCGTATTCCTGCACACCTAGAATTTGTTGAGCACTTACTCTGTGCTGGAGACTGTTCTAAGGTTTTGTGTGCATTTGATTAGTTAACCCTCCCAACAACTCTATGAATTAGGTACCAATATTATCCCCCTTTTACAGATTAGAAAACTGAGACATTTTTCTTTGTTAGTGCCCTTGAGATTCCCAAGATTCCTGGGGTTCTGACCCCCAGCGACCCTGTGGACAGCAGAGTGGACCCTGCCCAGTCTTTTGTGCCCTCCTCTCACCTTCCAGAGCTCTATCAGACAATGCTCCACTGCAATTCACAGGATTTTCATGGCCGATTTTCTTGGAAGTGGGTGGCCAGGTCCTACTTCCTAGTCTGTCTAGCCTGGAAGCTCAGTGGAAACTGAGGCACAGAAAGATTAAGTAACTTGTCCAGGGTTACACAATTATTAAGGGATACAGCCAGGACTCTGGCCTTGTCCATTTATCTCCAGAGCCCATGGTTTGTTGAATAAATAAATGTTGAAAGAATCAAACTAATCATTTTATTCATCAACTAAAATAAATAGCAACAAAATAAATAAAAAGAGACCTCAGTCATGTGTTAACCTTTGCTCTTTATATAAGCGTTCTCCTCTGTTTTGGTTTTTTTTTTTTCTGTTTTCCTTACTGTTGGTTTAGATTCCTAAGGAGCTGTTCCCAGTGAGAGAAAAGTGGAGAAACAAGACACTTTCAGATCGTATCGTATGTTGCACGTTAAAATAAGGAGTGTGCTTACAGGTAATGACGACACATTTATGTTGGCTACATAGGTGGAAGTCTACTCATTGGCTTTATGACTATAATTTAATTATAATTTAAGTGAAAACACTTCTAAATATCAGCCCTAGTTTAAAAATACCTGAAACCAAGTCTGTTTGACTCCTAAAGGTAATTCCAAATGATTGGTTCAGTAAACAAATTTGATCCCAGATTTGTATACCTTACTAATACAAACACGAGTATTTTTGTTAGTATTGAATAAAACTGTTGTTTATAAAATGCTATTCTCTCTCTGATTGTTCAGAACCCAATTAAATAAAATGTACCTGCATAAAACATAATATTATTAATCCTGATATCACCAAATCTACAACCAAGCTTACAAAATAGGCCATATAATAAATGTTCAAGAGAAAAGGTTGAGTACCCAACTAGGAACCGTGTGGACAAACTTTCATTAGTATTTGCAGGAAAAGAATGGAGGGAATGAACTGTCCTGTTGGACGACGGGTCTATACGAAGCAGCATGAGGAGTGACAGAACCAGGATAGTTATTTATTTCTCTCCTGGTTCCACCCACCCTCTGCTAGACCAAGGTGTTCTACAGATTTCAATTTCGTTCTCTTCACAATGCCCTTGTGAGGTAAACTCGGGGGTAGGGAGAGAAGAGAGGAAAAGAACAGAACGTGAAAGAAAAGACGTGTGTTGCAATCCAGAATTCCCTGTGAGGGAAGGGCAGTGACCACCGCCGTAGCTGTATGATCCCAACCCATGTGGGCTAGGCCTGCGCAGGCAGAAGGAACTGGAATTTGCATTAAAAGGTGACAGTGGTTTTGTATGTGGTGGTGGCATGGACCCTCTGCTCTGCCTACTTTGCTTCACCACGTCTTAGTCCTGCTTTAACAAGAACAGTTGCTTAGGAGGAGGTGGCCCCGATGCCCCTTCAGCTCTGGTAAGGGCCACAGTTGAAACTAACCTGAGGGAAAAAGTCCATGTGCCTTTTCTCCCCCAGGCCCCATGCGCCATGCTATTGATCTGGGTGTTGGAGAAAAAGGAAACAGAAACAAGAATTTGGAATCTGTTATGACCTTAACTTTTTTTTCTGATTTTAAAAGTAATGTATGCTTACTAATGGAAACTTGTAAAATGCAGAATAGCGTATAAAATAATCATCCATAGATGGTAATAAATAGATTTCTTTCTTACTAATATTTTCTCTCATGTATATGTAACGTGTGTGTGTGTGTGTGTGTGTGTGTGTGTGTGAAAGAGAGAGATTTATAATGGATCATATAGAATATATAATTTTGTGTCCTGCTTTTTTTTTAATTTTCAAAACATTTTATTTCACCTGAATTTCATATGGTACAAAAGCACTACATGCTTGAACCTGTCACCCAACTAGAAGGTTCTTTCCATTCTTCAGACCTACCTTCCTTCAGAGGAAAATAAATAAGAAACAAATCATATATGTAGAGCATAGAGTAGTCCCCTTTATCTGAGAGGAACATATTCCAAGACCCCAGTGGATGCCTGAAACCTCAAATATACTGAACCCTATATGTACCATGCTTTTTCTTATACAGGCATGTGTCACTGAACAACAATATGTTCTGAGAAATGCATCGTTAGGTGATTCCATCATTGTGCGAACATCAGAGAGTGTACTTACCCAAACCTAGATAGTATAGCCCGCTACACACCTAGGCTACACGGTATAGCCTATTGCTCCCGGGCTACAAACCTGTATAGCATGTTACTGTACTGAATACCATAAGCAATTGCGTGTATTTATGTTTAAACATATCTACACAGAAAAGGTACAGTAAAAATACAATATAAAAGATAAAAAATGGCACACTTACCATGAATGGAGCTTGCAGGACTGGAAGTTGCTCTGGGTGAGTCAGTGAGTGAGTGGTGAGTGAATGTGAAGGCCCAGGACTTTCTGTACACTACTGTCAGACTTTATAACTCTGGACACTTAGGCTACACTAAATTCATAAAAAAATATTTTTCTTTCTTCAATAATAAGTTAATCTCAGCTTACTGTAACTTTTTAACTTTATAACCTTTTTAATTTTTTAATTGACTCTTTTGTAATAACAGCTTAAAACACAAACGCATTGTACAGCTCTACAAAAATATTTTCTTTCTTTATATCCTTATTCTATAAGCTTTTTTCTATTTTAAAAATTATTTATTTTTTTACTGTTTGAACTTTTTTGTTAAAAACTAAGACACAAACACACACATTAGCCTAGACCTACACAGGGTCAGGATCATCAATATACTGTCTTCCACCTCCGCATCTTGTCCCACTAGCACTTCAGAGGCAATAACACGCACGGAGCTGTCATCTCCTAGGATAACAGTGCCTTCTTCTGGAATACCTCCTGAGGGTCTGCCTGAGGCTCTTCTTGAGGAAGTCTCTCTCTTTTCAGAAATATGTCCTGATGGCTTGCTTGGTTTGTTTCTTTTCTTCATCATAGATTTGCTTGTAAGCAGAAAATGCACCAGGAACATTCCTGTCTATTAATGAAAACCTTTTGGTGTTGAGGTCCATGTTTTCAAACTTTTTAAGGAGCTTGTTAAGGTCTGCAAAATCTTCTGCTAAACCCTTTGTTAGCACCATCTAAATAGCTAAGATAAATAACAGCCAATGGTTAACATAGGTTAGCATTAGGGAAGCCATCTTATAGAGGTGAACCATGTTGGAATTATAAATGACCTTGATCCACAAGACACCCCCTTTCCTTGTCAGCAATGCTTTGTTTGCATGCAGCCTAGATAAGTACGCACCTGCTTGTAAGAAATATG